GTATATCCAGTATGAATTGGTGCTAATAATGTTGATCTGCGCAGAAACAAGATATTGTTCCACTAACAGCAGGCACACTTTTTCTTCTTTGTTCCAAATAAAACAAAAATACTTTCAAGCGGTGCCTTTGGGACTGACATGCACGCCGAACAGAAACAGATCTATTTTTTTGTTGGGCTTTTAAACCACGCTGTCATATTTATGTGGATTATAAATCTATATGATACAGTGGTTCTGTTCATCACAAGATATTTTGATGAAACAACAACTGTTGCTCTAAATTAGTATATAAAATGGAATACACAGCAGTGTGTGGAGTTTGAGGTTCCTTATCTCTGTCCCTCTTAACTATACACATCCCTGTGCTCATGTCCATATTTTTCTCTGGACAGTGATGTGATAAATAGTGGATCCCCAATGAGTGACCATGTGATATCAGATTTATTGAATGTGGCCTTTTGGATTAATCTCCATGTGTCCCTGACTATATCTTGCCGATCACATGTTAACTTCACACATATACATATTGGTTTTAAGATGCTGATTGACAGGCATTATAAAGTTTAAAAAGCACCAAAATTAAGCATTTTTGCCATCACAGAACTACCTGTACTCATTTATATTGTACCATTTATTTTCATGTTTTGAGCTGTGATTTAATTTCATGAATTTTGTCACGGAAAAACAATGAGTTTTATTGTTTTTTTACATGTTCACATATATTTAATTTAAATGATTTTACTTATCAGTAAAAATAGCAATATTAAAACCCAGGGAATAATTAATGCATTTACAGTACATACATTTTTATGCATATTCATTTCAAATTTCGATTCAAAAAGGTTGACTCATTTCAGTTTTGTGTATCAATAAATGAGCAATGGTGACTGTCTTGTTATAACCTGTGTTTTTTAGTTTGGATTCTAAATGTTTGAGTGGTAGGCATATTGCTTCAATATAGGAATACAGTTCTGGAGCCATATCTCTGACATGCCCTGACCGTTCCTATACAACTTGATATATTTCTTAAACTTGTATGTCCTGAATCTGATCTTATTTATGCCATGTATCCATTCCGCAGCTGTTCGCCATAAACACATCACAATCAGAAATCCTGCATGTTTCTTTAGCATGTTTAACTAGCTTATTTGCATACAGGAAACACCATTTCTGACAATTTATCGTCATAGATGATTTCAGAGACACTTTGGTAACATGTTCCCACAATTTTGTGAGCAATTACTGTATATATAAAAAAGGCATCTCCAGAGAATTCAGCAGCCAGTACACTGGAGGAACGAATCCTGTGCACTGCCAAGTTTAAGTTGCGATGCTACTGCTGGAAACTGTTCCTGTGCCTGTAACATGAAAACTCACCTTAATTGGTGAATGTATGAACTACTGAAATATACTGGAGTATTTACCATATTTCAAACAATTAAAAAAAAAAAATCTCCTGTCAAGTTGTTAAAGTAGCCATTTGTGTTGAGCATGTACTTTATGTACACAATGTGAACACTTTATCAGTTACTATGGCAACCGCCCTTTAGATTTCTCAGCAGTATTACATGTAGATTCTAGGTAAATCTCTATTTCACAAATCCACAAACTGAAACATTTTATATGCTTTATAATAAAGCTTACCTTAGTTTGTAGTTGACAAATTGATTGATTGTAAAAGGAATTATCATTACTGCAATTATATTTGATGCATGATAATGATAATTAAAGTATTTATGTAATTCAATTGCTGGTCAGTGCAAAAAACTATGTCCAAGTTATTTTTCATTACCCCTGTATTTAATTTAGGACTTTCTGAAATAAATTAAGTGTATTTTAGTTGTTTTTACTATATAAAATACCAAATAAGTGTGAAGAATTTGTTATCTTCAAATTTGTTGTGTATTTTTATATTGTAATTTACTCATACTATGTAGATTTTTTTTAAATATATGAAGTGTATGATTTACTGTAAACTGAAAGAGGATTAACTATGTTATTTGTGTTGACGATGAATTTCTGATACATCATATCTGTCCAGTAGCATCGATCTATATTTTCTTGTAAAAAAAAAAACGACCTCCTCATTGTGTGTAATTAGTCCCTGTTCGAACGAAGTCAGAAAACGGGGACTTATAATTCGGTTTTCGTCCGTCCGTAGTCTTATTTCAGAATCCTTCAGACCAATTCTATTCATTCTTTGCATGTGTCTAGTACTTTATGTGGGACATACATTGTATGCACATGCAGTGGTTTAGCGATTTGATTCAAAATGGCCGACTGGCAGCCATCTTTTTTTTTTTAAATGTTGTATTTTGGACATGCTTTGTCAGTTTTCATTCAAACTTGGTACATAGGTTACATGTCCATGACAATTTCTTTCGCAATTGGTTCAAAGATAGCCAACTGGCAGGCATCTTATTTGTTTTTTAAATTGTGGTAAATGTGGCCGATTGACAGCCATCTGACTTTTTGGCTATACTACTTTGGCTTTATATTCCCAAGATTTATGTACCATTTTCATTTGTATTTGGCACATGGATACATGTACATGTCAATTCAATTTGCCATTTTGATAAAATATGGCCGACTGGCGGCCATCTTGTTTGTTTAAATTGTGACATCTTGGACATGCTTAAACATTTTTTAATCGGGCTCATGCCTAGCTTACTCATAATGTTGGTGTCTTTTTTGACATGCCAGTTATGCTGACCTACGCTTTAACTCTGCTTGCCATTCACCCTCGGGGGAGATTCACATTGATGCTACTGTTTGATTCGCCAATTACATGTCTCATTGCATTTTGTCACAGCGAGCTAGCGCCTTTCGCATATCTGAGATTGCTTTCCGCCTCTCAGATATGGTTATGGGGATATGGAT